GGAAAAGCGGTGCCCGGGCTGAGGGACAAACAGGGCGAAGGCCTGGCGGCAGTAGACACCATGAGAACTGCGCCGGGGGGCAGCGGGAAGCAGGGGGGTAGGGCTGTGCTTTGCCGGCGATTTTTTCTTTTCTTGTCTGCGTCCCTCCTCTAATGTCCATCGTCTCTTCTATCCCGACTGTGTTTACGGCCACTCCACGAAAACCGTCGGGTTGTGGTAAACAAAAGATGTTGTGGCTTGAGGACGTGAAGCATTGAGGAGACAGTTGGAAGAGTGGGGCTTGTGGCTAGCAGCAAGCCTACAAGAAGATGAATGTTCCCTGCAGATCCTCACTCCTACTAAAAAATAAAGAAAAAAATACTCGTTTGCAGGCAGCTGTTGAACATCTCTTTGACCTCCCCTCAGAGACATCCAGCAGTTTTGAGGCACAGCCTTGCCTGCTCAGGGCAAGGCCGTGCAGCCCCCACCACTGGCAGCCCTCTGGACCCCCGGCTTTGCGACCTCCGGTTCTGAACCATAAGACATTGGGGATAAACCACTGTAAGATGGCAACCTTGTATTTACATCAATCCAGCTGCAGCATATGTTAGTGATAAAAGACTTCATTACGTCAATTTATTTCAAGGTTAAAAAAGGCAGAGATGCGTGCTTATCGTCCACATAAATTCAGCAACACAATAATAGGAGTGTTGGTTGCCTGGCTAATAGGTACTGACACCTTTGGATACTAGTTTGATTTGCAATGCTCATTTCTGCCTTTTAAGTTGTTTGTTTCACTGGTATTTAGGAGAGGAAACTAGGAGAAAACTTTACTTCTAAAGAGAACTTGATGCTGTCATATCGTCCCATATTCCTGTCATCTCCCATCCTATAATTTTTAATATCTTTTGTAGGGTATTTGGAAGTATGTTGTTTTGATAGGTACTTATTAATTGCTACACTTCAAATAGAACTGGTTAGTTTTCAGTCTGACTCCCTTTTCTAGTTCTCAGTTTTTTTCTTTGCCCATGGTGACATTTTAAAATTATATTTGAATAGTGAAAAGATTTGTTAGAGAACATGAGCACTGCAGATAGTGTTTAAAGATACACTAGAGCAGAGTAAGCATAATGCTAATTTTCCATGACAACTAACTTGTCCAAACAAGCAGTGGATAACTGCCTGGACTTGTCTGTTGGCCAAATATAGATTCTCAGCAACCATGGCACCTTGTAAAAATTCCAGCAGTGGTTTAGACCTAGATATTTGTGTGATGATGGATTTCAAGATGAGCTTGTTATCCCTCTAGAGCATAAAGCTCAAGGTCTAGTGAGGGACAGCCAAGAAGCTGCCAGAATTTTGCAAAGCGTGCTCGCCTCCTGTTAGCACCGGAGTTTCAAGGCAAACAGAAATCTCGTTTAATTGGAGTGTTCTGCTGCTGGCAAAGTCACATATCTGCTCATTTCCACCCAGCGCCCCAGTTCCTGAGATCCTAAGCTAGCTAGCTTCATCATTAGGAGAAAATTATGTCTACGCAAAAATGTGAGAAGATAGAGCTGAATGGCTGTAACACTGAACAGCGGTATTATCAATGTTCAATCTTGTTCTGATGTGGCATGAAAACTATTTAGTTCCTACACAAAATGCATTTTACTGAACCGAAGCAAAACAAAAATAGAGTGTCTGTGTAGTTCTCCCCAAACTAGATCACATTACTGAGCCTTGTCTTAAGCACAGTATCATTTTCTAAGGCTGTGTGGAAATTAAGGTGCTTTTAAAATTAGCAATAAATTTTCTACAGTCCAAGACTTACCAGACTGGTAACTGTGACTTTTTTTCTACTTCTCAACCAATAAATATCTCGTGACCAATGACTTCAAGATTAAATTGGGATTCTTTAAATAATAACTTCCCGTACTGATTCATTAACTTCTAAGGATAAAAAAACCAACCAGTTTCTGTCTAGAATTTTTATCAGTCTTCAAGGACAACCTTATCTCTTTTCTCAGACAGACTAATCTCAAGTAAGGGGAGGCTGCGGGTAGGTAAAACATGCTGTCTGTGCTTACTTAGGGATGACAGGGGGGATATTTTCTGACATGCAGTGCAGCACCGCTTCTGTCCTGTTTGTCACTAGTTTGTCATTAATACAGCACGTGCTAGGTCATCAACATGCATAATTCTTTTCTTATGCTTGATAATTCTGGATAAGTTTAATTAAAAAGTTTTACTTGAAGGCTGAGTAATAAGCTTGTGTAGTTATGAGAGCTGATTTCCCCACTGTTTCAAGGTTGTAGAAAGAAGAGGAGACATCGCAACAGCAAGGCCTCACCTGGGTGTTTTTTTTATAATGCTACTGAAAATATCGAGAGCAGATGTAGTCCAGCTGCCTTAACTGGAGATACTCACTTTACATTGTGGTTAACTAACGTGCTATGAGACCCTTTTTAATATAAAGCCAGATTCTAACTGTAGACATTTAATTATTCAATGCTTGCAAGCTAAATTCTTTTCTGAGGTGGATGTGGTCTACCTATAGGTGTATGCGCTAGAGCAAAAATGGGTCGCTGTGCTGCAGGGTGCCCAACTCAAGTGCACAGGTAGACCATTAAAGACTTCAATTTCAAATTTTTGTTCCTCACCACAATTCTTTCTGCTGCCAAGTCAGCATCCAGCACATACCTGAAATGGTCTGAAGCTCCCAGATGCTGATCAGAGGCACGAGTGGTCAGGGTTGGTCAGGTGTCATCTCCAACCTGTTTGCTGCTTCTTGGCTATCAGATGGGTTAACCTCACGTACTGTCTATTAACTGCTCCAAGCTAAAAAAAAAAAAAAAAAAATTCAAAATAAGCCTCTGGGCCCTTCCCTTGTGCTGATGTATCCTTTCTGAGGCCTCAGGCTGCATCTCTGTTAGCGCGACACAAAGCTGTGATCTGCAGATTGCCAGGCCGGGCAGGGTAAAAGAACAGAGGAAAACAGATGCTGAAATGCAGCTGGGGCACATGTGGCTGAACGGGGCTTCCTGCCAGGCCTGTCTGCTGCAGCCGTGACCCCACGTGCCAGGCACTGGGTCAGTACACTTCTGTACAAATAAAAGAGCAAAAATTTTGTTCTTTTCTTGACTTTCCTGTTTTGTGGTGTAAGAAAAAGCACATTTGATAAGAAGCCCTCATGCCAGTCATAGCACATTCGGTTCAGAGAACTTACACTTCATAAGCGCTAAGACCTATGCCCACGGAGAGGTCTGTCGGTGCCACCAACAGAAACTTCTTACTGTAAATGACACCCAAATTCTACTAAATGAAAAGGGGATGCAGCTGTCCTGGGGGCAATTTTGATCACACAGTAATGACAAGCAGGAACCAAGAGCAAGGCTCGTAGCAGCAGTGGGTACCCAAGGACCACACGTGATGCTACTGCAGCTGTTTAACAGGGAGCGCTGGGCTGTACTTTGCTGTTAAACTTGTTTTTTTCTGGTGCGCAGGAGCTATGTCTTTGAGCTGCTCAGGGCTGCACTGCCCGTCCCAACAACCCCAGCTCCTCTGCAGACTGGGTGGCACGGCAGGCGTTCTGCAGCTTCACCTTGTTGTCCCAAAGTGTGCTCATTTACCCGGTGTACATCAACCTGTGTGCATACCCTGGGCTCAGCTACCTGCAGTATTTTATGGGTGCTTTCAGTACGAGATCAGCAGTTGCTTACATTTCCATAACTCCAGGTTCAACCTTGTTGATTTTGAAAAATGTAAAATTACTTCAGGTGGACTGGCAAAGATGATCTAAACCAAAATGTTTTTCTAGCAGCTGTTGATGAGCTCTTACCTCCCTCCTGCAGGCACTCTGTTCAGGTGTGCCTTCCTTTTGTGAGCCTTAAGTACGAGCAGCTTCAAAACCACCTGGAGCTGGAACAATCCCACATCAGAAGACAGAAGTTCTTCTGCTTTTGTTTAGTTGGTGTATGCATTCCTTCGTGCATCTGGGAGACATTGGTGGTCTGTCTGCTCAAATCTGATTCCTAT